AAACCTGAATTAAAATCCTTTAATCCAACATAATCCCAAATGGTCTCATTAGGATTGCATGATTAAAAGTGTAATTTGCTATAGCAGCACTACACTGGTCTGCACTCCTAATCATTCAGAGAACATCTATGGGTGGGCAATCTCATTAGTGCAGGAAAAGGTTGTATCAGCAAGTGCTCTATCTTTCAAACTGATAAGAACAGGTCCCTGCTAACAGAAGTCTGTGGAAAGGGAATAGGATGTGGAATTTTAGGCTCCCATTTCGGAGGAGCCTGCCAGCAGTCCTCATACGTGGTGGTACACAGGTCTCAGCCCCATTAGCAGAGGTAATAGGAAGACAGAGCTCTTTGGGAGGGGTTCTCTAGGGACTCCAGTAACAGGACAGGAATTAGAAGCCTCTGAGGAATGTCAGAGTCCCACCCCATCAGCTACCCCATATCCTTCACTTTCCATTCCTAGCGATAGGGCTGACATCCACAAGTGAGGCAACTCTGAGTCATCAGTCATCCAATCCAGCAAATTACTTTCACAGGATTCCCCACATCTATAAAGCAGACAAGAAATGTGGAGGTGTTATTTTTTGGTCGAGCACGGTCCTTTCACCCCAGGCCAGTGACTTTGCCTCTTCTATTGTTAACAGTGACCCCTACAGGAAACCTCTCAGGGGGAAGGCACAGAAGTGAGACCTGGCCAGCTGCCTGCTCATACCAATCTGCAGCCAATTCAGCTGACTGAGGCAATCATAGGATGATCACAGTTGGAAGAGATCTTAAAGATTTCCAGTCTAACCATCCACCCAGTACTGCCACTGTCCCACTAAAACACATCACCCATGCCAGATGCAGATGCCTCTTAAACATCTCCAGGTATGGTTAGTCAAGAACCTCTCTGGGCAACTTATTCCAATCACCCCAACAGTGGTTTTTTTTTTTTTCCCTAGCATCTAATCTGAATCTCCCATCTCAACTTAAGGAAATTTCCTCTCACTGCAGGCACAGTAGAAGAGACCAGCCCCCACCTCACTGCAGCCTCCCTTCAGGCAGCTGAGGGGAGTGATGAGCTGCTCCCTGAGTGTCCTCTAGACTAAACAAACCCAGTTCCCTCAGCCACTCCTCATAAAACATGTTTTCTAGACTTTTCACCTAATTGCCCTTCACTGGACAGGATTCAGCATCTCCATGACCTTTTTAAAGTGAGGGGCCCAAAACTGAACTGTACTCAAGATGTGGCATCACCAGTGCTGAGTACAGGAGGGAAGGTCTCAGGTTTTGGGGGGGCTCTTTTCTTTTGGGGCATTGTGTTCTTACTCCAGCCAACAACCAAGCCCTGCACAGCTGCTCACTCACTGCCTCACCACCAGGATTGGGGGTAAAATCAAAACGATAAAAGCTGGAAAATTCATTAATTGAGACAGAGATGTTTAGTAGGGAAAGCAAAAGCCATGCACACAAGCAAAGCAAAACAAGGAATTAAGTCACTGCTTCCTATGGGCAGGCAGGTATTCCACCATCTCCAGGAGAGTAGAGCCCCATCACGCCTAATGGTGACTTGGGATGTCAAATGCCATCACTCTGAACGTCCCCCCTTTGACCTTCATCCTCCCACCTTACATACTGAGCATTATGTTGTATGGTAATATATGGACTATTGCTTTGGTCAGTTTGAATCATTTGCCCTGGCTGTGCCTCTCCCAACTTGCCATGCATCCCCAGTCTTCTCACCAGCACTGCTCAGCAACAACAAAAACATCTTGATATTATCAGGGCTGTTTTCAGCACAAATCTAAGCCACAGCCCCTCAGCCCACTGTACCTCAGCTCAAACCCGCACACAGACTTAAGTCAGAAAATGCTGTGAGGGAAGAATTTGCTTTAACAAGGACAAAAGGCAGAAAGCCCATTGTCCAGAGTATCTGCATGCAGCTGACACTTCCTCCAGTTAAAAAAAAAACCTTCATAGATGTGCATATTATCAGGACTGTGCAGCAGCTTACTTTGAGCACAACATTGAGGCTGCATGCACTCTATGCCTATAAAAGTAGCATGGGACAATTTATAGTTAAGCAATGAGGTAAAGTCTGGAGAATATTAATAGAAAACAGAATTGGAAAGAAGACAAAAGTTATTTCCTTTGGAAATGTTGCTTTTGGTCTCCAAATTATCTCTCAATCCACCAAATTGTGTGAGGTGTTGTCTTAGAAGGAGCTATTAGATTAACATTTAACTTTAGTAAGAACATAAGAATAAGGTAACTTCTTCAGGCAAATAAATGATGCTTCACATTAGCAAATAGCTCAAGGGAGTAATTTCTCTTCCCCTTTATGTAAAAATTTGGTTCACCCTTCACAAAATTTCCATTTTTCTGGAGCATATCACTAGCACACTGACCAGTCAACATCTGCCAACTTAAGCAGACATTTCACTTCCCACCATGGGTGGAAGAGTGGAGTTTTGGGCCACCACCTCAGACAGGACTTTTCACAGAGTTATTTGCATCAGACTCACAAAATTTGTGAGTCCATCTTGAATGAGCAGCAATGGTAAACACATATTGTGGCAACTAGAGCAGGAGAAGAAAATGCAAAGTTCTGTTTTGTATTAGCTGCAAATAAGTGTGTAATAGTCTTCAAACTATGAAATGTTTTCTTTCCTTTGTTTTGACTAGATTTGTAATATGTCAAACAATATAATAAAAGTCAGAGCAGAGCTGCTAAAGCCAATCCTTTCTTTGGCCTAAAACAACAGTAATGCAGGCAAGAGAAGTATTTTACTGTCTCAGTCATTTTGGAAACTAAATTGAATGGCTAATTGAGTCAAAGTTTAATTTCCTGAATATTTGTCCAAAATTCAACGTTTGTTTTCGCCGGATGATAATGTGCTATATTCACCATGTTCAAAGTCAAGGCATAACACTGTTTAGTAGTTTCTATTTTATCTTTGTGATATGAACACGAATAGTCTTTATGAGTCAGCTTCTCACAGTCAAACTGCGACACCGTTTATGCAAGACACTTATCTGGATTGCTGTGAAATGGTGCTGTAAAACATGGTAAATACTTCAGGAAAAACATTTTTGCGTTGCTTAGACACGAGACTTCAGTGAGAGCAAGTGTTGCTTGCCAGCTTGCAGGGGAGTCAAATGGGCCCAAAAAGGTGCTCTGTTCCTGCAGCATCTAATTTTTCCATGCGTACTTTATAACTTGCCAGGAAACAACCCAGCAATAATGTTGCAATTAAATAGCAAAATAGGTAACATTGGAGGCTATAGGCAGCTGATGCTGATGTTCCCATGTCCCTTTGAGTGTCTTCCCACTGACTGTAATTGAATCTGGATTCACAAACTTGCATTTCCTTAATTGCACCTAAAGTAGATGCCTAAAGCAAGCATAGTATTATCACTAAGTAATAATTGTGTGTTAAATCTATTCCCACTCCAGTGTCTCTACTTTTCCATTTTCCTGCTTTTTTTAAGATAACAAAAGAAAATAACTTTCAGATGCTTACTATTCAGCCAAATGTGAGGTATGCAAGCTCTTTTTCCTACACCTTCACTTCCCTCTGCTAAAGGCAGATTAGACCAGTGGTAAACAAATCCTTTCAAATCTGGTCCTTACATTTTAAAGCTGTAACTGCTAACTAGAGCAATGTTATTGATAGGAATTTCAAGTGCTAAGCACCCTTAGAGCTACAGTGTTTAATCCTGCAAACTGATGAGCACCCTTGACCTGACCCAGCACTACACTTAAAAAGATGTATGGCACTTTTTGTACATAAGACTGCTATAAAATGCTTTGCTGCATTGGGTGAAAATAGATAATGGCAAGATGAAGTTCATGTCACTTATTTTAGCCATTTAACTGTAAGATGTCAACGTGAAGCTAACCATCAAAACTCAGCCTGGTTCTAAAGAGAGGAGGTAAAAGCATCTCCAGAGGGTGATTCAGACATTTATTTATGAATGACTGAATTTTTCCCTCTCATCCCTCTCTTTCTCTCTCTTGATGGTAGCCCTTTGCTTTAGACTACACAAGTGACTTTCTGAGAGTCAAAGTAATTCAGTCTAATTACCTATCCATTTCTGCAGAATTTGTAATTATTTCATTTAGTCTATGTATCAGCTTAAAATATTGATATAATTTGAATGCAAAGATAAGGTCTGTGTCCCTCTGTTATTACATGTAAGCAGGAAGAGAAAATAAATGCTACCAGCCTCTTGAACTCTTTTTTTAAATAATATTACACAAGAATGAAATCCCTTGGCCACGAAATTTTCAGAGAGAGATAATTTATTCTCTTCTTATCTCTTACTGTATCTGCAGATTGCTGTCACACCCACAGTGATAAATTTATACCTAGTTCTCTGATGGAAAGAATTCAGGCAGTGAGAAGTAACTGCCTGTTAGGAGTGCAGCTCTTATCTAGATGTGGACTTTCTGCTAAAAATGAATTAATAACTTGTTGAGAAAAAAAAACAAACACAGCACTTCCATTCTTACATATTAGAAAGTTTTTTCAACAAGTGGATCACAACTAAAACTAAAGATCATCAAAAGGCAGCCACACAGCACTGCGGAAAACTCTGTAGTGGAGGTTTGCCAAAGACCTCCTTGTGTGGTCTTGAGATCCTCTGAATTCTGATAAAAAACCTAAAAAAACTGTGATAATATCTCAGTGCACTTAGTACTGAAAGGAACAAATGGAAGGCTTGATCAGAAACATCTAGAATGAGTGAAATGTGGATGGAAGATGTAAACTTTTGCACAGTACCTGGCTTCATTTTAATTTCCACGCAGTATCAATAAATAAAACTTTATCACAAGCTTGACACAACATATTTTTGAGTGCAGTGAAGGCATTTTAATGATATGTTCTTGCAAGCTCAAGTTAACACATCTCATTTTTCTGTCAGTGTCTGGATGTGCACGTGCTCCCAGCCCATTGCAAACAGGCAGCTTACCAATCTTTGTGGGTGACAGCTTATAAATCCAATTTCCTTTGCATTTGCAACAGGCCAGGAGCACACTTGCAGCAGTCAGTCTCTACCAGATCACTGAAAGCCAGTCATATCTTGCAATCAAGAAGGCAAATTGAATTAGAAATGGGAGTCTGAAGAGCTACTGATTCTTTCAGCACTGGATTTTTGGGGAGAGGGGGAGGACATGGTAAGTTTTTACCTTTTACTACATTTATCTTTTTTCAGCTGGCAAATAATTGTATTACAGTGTAAGTCTGAGCCACAGTTTGATTAAATTTTCGTGATTTATTTTCCCCGCAAATCTGGCCTATATTTGTACTAATCATTGAAATTCACACATATTTCTTCTAAATAAATTATTACAGTGGGGCTGATTTACAAACTATTCCAAACTATTTACATCACTTCCAGGTTTTTCATTTAATCACACAAAAATGCCCTTTTTTTGAAATAAAGCTACTGCTGTGCCTTTGTTTTCAAGGCCTGTGTTTCTCATCTGACAGGTTATGTATCTGATTTGAGCTTACGCGGATACTTGACATTAATTAATTTAAATGACCTTTGTACCTTTCAATTTATTAATTGATGCCAATTTAAATGTAATTTTCATGTTGGGAGAAGTGACAAAATTGAAGTATACTCATTGTAAACCATTCTGCGCTAATTCTCGAAGGTGATGCACTGCCCTGCAGTGTGGTTAGCCTGTATGGACCCAGAGAGGTCACTGGGGTTCTTGTGAAGGCAGCAGTCAGTGTGGGATGCAGGGCTGGGGCAGAAATATCTGTTTGCTTTACCTAGAAAATGGATTTAAAATATTCCTGGGAGGGCTTGCAGGAACTGCCCAGATGAATGTGTTCCATCTTGAAGATGGATAATGCTGATAACACACAGATGTTGTTTATTTGTAGAAACCCATTTCTTAGATTTTAGAAATGTCAGGGGTATACTGAGGAAAAAGTTTCCAGTGTGGTGCAGCCTGCCCTTGGTAGCAAGGCATTTGATCCCTTCCATGAGCTACAGCCCCAGCAAGTGACTCACAGAGAGTCTGAAGCAGATAGAACCATGCAGAGCTGCTTTATTTGCAGGGCCAAGAGATTCTGGGAAAAGGCATCTCTGGAAAATACTTAATAGCGACAAAGCCCACACAGCATCTAAGCAAACATCCAACAGCTCGTGGGTGAGACTTCAGCTGCTGTCAGAACATGTTCCCCATAACATTATGGCCTTGGGACAGGGGTAGTAGGTCACAAAAAATCCCATTTACACCAACATCCTGTCTCCATCAGTGACCACAAGTCAGTGTCTAAGGAAGAAATGTAGGAACAAGGAAAAAGAAGACATATCACTGAAATGCATTCTCACCCTTGGGTAATTTTCAAATAAAAGTAAATCCTAAGAGCAATATGGGTATGTTGTAGGCTTCAGATTGGTTTTGTTGGGTGTTTTTTAATTTGGTGCTAATTAATGATTTCTTACCCATGGGCTTGTCCACCTTCCTTTTAATGCTCTGCAAACTTTTACCATTCACAGAACCCTGTGGCAAGCAGTTCCCAAGCTGAACTATTGCATGAAGAACAACAATTGTGCTCATTGCTTCTCATCTATGTCCCTCAACCTAGAGACAAAAACACGGCAACTGTGGCAGTCCACTGAGATTTTTCACAGTGACACTCATTAAGAAAGTATTAAGCTCTGCAGCTGTTTTATCACCCTTGGGTCCTGGGGTGTTTTTTTACTGATGCCACTCCCGAGGAGCAGCTGGGGTGAGTTCCCAGCTCTCCTGCAGGCTGCCTCTGCCCTCTTGGGTCTGTGACCTTATCTGTATAGCCAAGTGTTGAAAGTTCTGGCAGTTTAATACCTTAAACTTAATTTCTACATTCTCAACAATAGTTTGCTTCCCCCACCCTTTGCTTATCTTGTATATATACACAGAATGTTTCACTGGGAGGGAGTCTGCTTTTTTCTTAGTATACAGAGACCCCAAATCCAGAGGAAGGACAAATAAACTTTTAGGTTGACTTTTAAATTGAAATACTTAAATAAAAAAGAAAAACAATTTCTATTCTGCATCTGGTTATGAACTCTAAAGGTCTTTCTTCACCTTATGTGGATTAGAATCTTTTTTTATGAAGCAATAGTAGAGCTGCTCACATGGCACAAGAAAAGTCAGGGAAAGGAAGGCTTGAAGAACACTAAAAATCTTGAAACCTATAATCAAATAATGAATATCACTAACTACAATCACTTTATCTTTACAGAAAAATGACATATTATTTTTCCGTTTTGACAGTTGCTGGTCTCAGGAGGATTATGCTTCTGAGGAAAAGAAACTGGAAGAATAAAGTACACTTGTGTGTCTGCAAGTAGTTTCCTCCTTGGTCTAGTTGTATTCATGCTCATTTTATTGCAAGACAGCTCACGCTGAAATTCAAGAGCATTTGCTTTGGGAGTATTTCAGGTGAAGTCACACTAAAATTGTGTGTCAAGGTACTATCAGGGTTAGAGTAAAGAATCTTGGAATGTGCCATAAGTACATTCTTCAAGATAAGCACTTCTTTATGTCTTCTCTTAAGTCAATAACACTATAGCTTTGACAATGAATTGGGGTCTATTCAAAGATGCATTGACTTCCAACAGAAATGAAATCAATCTTCTTTCAGGTCAAATAATGCATCTCTGAATTCAGACCAACAAACACTGTTTCCATCATTTTATCTTTCTCTTGACAGATAAAAACAGAGTGATGAAAGAGCTGTCAAAATACCCCTGGCTCACCTTCCTCTGAAACCACTCCCCACAGGTGATTGTTTATCCTGTCTGCAGATCCCAGTGAGGAAGAATCTGCAGCATCCCTTGGTCCTCTCATATCACTCATTGACCATGCACTGCTAAGCAAAGCACTTGCTTGCTGGCAAACACTCTCAGTTTGGTAATTTGGAGATCTGCTAATTAAGGAAGATCTCTCTTAAGAAAGAAATTGTTCATGGAAGCTCTTATTGTAATGCCTCCAACCCAGCTAAACCGATTGTCATGCTTTATTTAAAACTAATGCACATCTTTTCCCTTCTCATACTTGAAGACTTTTAATACCCTAGAAAGTGCTGATTTGAAAGAAGCATGGGTTACTTTGCAATGTACCTTTTCAAGTACTTAGCTTGAGGAACTAGTGTTCTCCTAACTTTTCTCCCTAGCATACCCTTCCTTAGCCAAGGCTCTTAATAAACCATCACATTTCTAACTTTCCCAGCGTGGCAGCACAGAAATGCAGTGAGGACAAGAAGCTGTCTCCTCATGGGTGCAATGCTCAGAGCCCCACCAGCAGCAGGGAGGCCAGTGTCCCCTCATGGTTTGGGCACCGCCAGCCCACCCTGCAGGGCCCCATTGCAGCTTCCCTCAGCACCAAGGCTTTTCACAGGATTTGAAACCTTCTGCTGGCTAAACGCAGAAGGGAAAAACGCTTAGAAATAGCCACCTTAGAAAAGTATGTAACAAATGCAGCTCTAGTGAGGAATAATATTTGTTGGCATTCCCTGAACATATTGCAGATCATTTACAGGTCTCAGCAAAATTCCTACAGATTGCCAGGTCCAGAAGTGAATTAGTGCACTTCATGCTGGTGAAGCCATTTTCTTTAAACAAAATACAAAGTTTAGGAACGGCAGGAACTTTCCAAACTGGGCTTTCTCCTTATCTGGATAAGGAGCAGTAACCAATTTATAATTTCTGCTAGTCATGCTTAGCTTATTCTAATTTCTTTAAACTCTAATATCATTGAGCAATTTCTAAATGTATTTTAGGTCTGTTACCCAAATTGCTGCACTTGAGTTGCTTACCAGAGTCCCTGACTGCCATCTGAATTTTTTTCTTGTAATTTGCATGAGATATGGCTGTAATCTGGCAGGATGTACTCTATCCAATAGCCAGGCATGTTGCAAAAGCCTCTTGTTATTTTTGTCCTGCTTAGCAAAGTTATCGAAGAACTTTCAGTGCCTTAATGTTAAATGGTTATCTAGGTATCTAGTAAAAGGGAACAATGTTTCCTGTCTGATTCTAAAGCGTATGGATCCTACTTTATTGTCATAAATAGCTTATTTCTGCTCATGTAAAAGAGTTCTTCAGACCAACTGCAATAATAATGTGGCATGCAGCTACAGTCCAAGCAGCCAGCCAACCAGAGCATGATTCTTTATCATAGCTTTGCATTGTTCTGCTAACTGCATGATGCCAAAAAATAATAATAATAAAGAGAAATCCTTTGTTCCCTTTCACTAACCTAGAAGGTCACAAAACAGACAGTTCCTTCTTGATTACACTAAATAAATAAAAGTCTGATTCATAGAGGGGAAACAATCATCTGCCAACTGCCAAACCCTATAAAGGGTAAATCTGTTTTTACTTTGTGAGCCAGATTGATGAGTCACCGAGGCTATGACTACTACCAGCAAGAATTAAAATGTACCCAAAAATATAACCTCCCTTTGTGCTGCACGAGGGCACCTCAGCAGCTCCAGAGCAGGGACCACCCCAGCATTTGCTCTCCAGAACCAGGGGCCCTCCCTGTCACAGCTACTGACATACCCTGCTTTATTCACAGGCATAAACTCACCAAGGGAGATGGATAATTAGGTTCTTCATTTGGGAAATCAGCCACCATGGAAATAAACACCCACCTCTGCTCCCTCCTCCCTCCCTGGCCAGCTGCCTTCAGAGCATGCCACGGTGCGCAGTGACGTGCGCTCCGATGCTGACAGGAGGGCTCTCAGTGGGGAAACCCTGGAAAACTCATCCAGAGAAAGACAGAGGTAAAGACTGGGGGGAATTTTTTTGGATCTTCTTGCAAAGAGCATTCTGCAAGAGGCTGGAGAAAATGGGATGAAATTAACTGGTCACTTTGTATTTTCCACATTATGAAACAAAAAATGTTAAAATAACGGCAACAAGAACAAAAAGGATTTGTTCATTCATTTGATTTCTTTAAATGGATGATTTGCAAGTCTATTTTAATCACTGACAAAATTCCTGTTGATGGTAATTGTGCCAGAATTTCACCACCTGCACTTATCCCCTAAATGCATGTTTTAGTAATTTATCAAAACTAATGCTGTAAGACTTTTGTTTTTAAGTACAGATCTTTCCACCAGGACACATCACAACTCAACAGAAAGAGTCTTCAAAGACATAAGGTAAATCTTTGTCATTCCTTAATTCACCTGTGTTTTACTTCAAAAATTAACTCCTGCACCCTCAGGGTCCACAGATAATCCTTAGAAATTACACATAAGAAGAGTCACCTAAAGTAAACTAAAATTAAATGAGGGAAAAACAACTCTTGCCCAGGGATGAAAGTAATAGTCAGTTCTCAGGTAAACATCTGTTTTGTCAGCCTGGCATTTGAGACCCTTTGCAGCAAGGCATGTCATGGAAAATCATAGAAATCATTTTGGTGAGGATGTTCCAATGAGAAAAATAGAAATAATAACACTGTATTTGAACACTGAATCATTAACAGGGAAGAATGCAAATACCTGTATACTTTTTTTAGGCCTTACATGAATTTAAACAGCAGAATAGTTTCAACCTGTACCAGAGTGGAAGAGCTGCAATTGGTATTCAAAGCTGGTTAGAGCAGGTATTTTTATGTTCTCTACTGAACCATAATTGACTGGTGTAAGCTTTGGAGAGCAAGGTTACAAGCGCTGAACTGGAAAACAGTACCCTATTTTAATTGAATTTTTATTTTTTTTTTTAGTTTTATTTAAAATTCCATATATCATTAATTTTTCTAATCCAACAAAATTTTTACTTTTATTTAAATATTTTAAAATAATTTTATTTTTATTGCCACTTAAAGCATGAGCTTTTGGAAGATAGTGGGATTATGATTAAATTTTGTAATTCAGCCCTTAAAAAAACTACATGCACAGCTCCATACATTTGGTAGATTTGTCTTGAGACACTTTTCTTGGGAATCCAGAAACTTAATAGTAAAGCTACATTTTTTTTTTTTTAGTACTTTGATCTTTAGACTGAGGGGGATGGAGTTAAAAAGATCATTCCATGTTTCTTCTACAATTTCAATCTTTCAGAGTTATTGTAACAGTGACAATTAGGTATGTAATTAAATATAAAGAAATATGCAAAAAAGCACAGAAACATATTTGGCCTATGCAGCCACAAAAAGGTAGGCGAAGTTCAGATACCAAATCCACCTGTCTTGCCAGCATCAGTTTAGATATAAATATCTACTTTTTTTTCCTGGTGGTTCCATCAGAACAAATTAGCATAAATCCCTTGGGAGAGGAGGGTTATAAGCTGCAGTCATATTCCTGTCTATGAAACCTCTGAATAATACATGTAATTTGTGACTCATATGCCAAGAATCCCAATTCAATGCATCTATAAGCAGTACTAAGAGTTCTATTTTTTTTATAAATGAACAAAATGTTATTTTATATATATATATATATATATAAATGGAGGAGGAAAGAAAGCCAGTTAAATGGAAGTGGGAGAGAGTCTGAAAATCCTTCCCTAACCTTGTGCAAGTTGGCTAATTTTGCTGTATCTCAGTTTTCCTGACACAATAAGCTCATAATCATTATCTGCCTTGGAGAAGTGTTGTGATGGCAAGCCATGTTTTTCTGAGAGGTTTATATACACAATGATGAAGGCAGCCATAAAAATAAGTAGACTGATAAAAGTGATTCACTGGCTGAAATAAAATGATGCTTGTTAAATTAATTTAAAATTTCATTTTCTTGTCTGTGTATAGAGACCTATGGCATGGGAAATAAACCATGGGTTTACTGCTGAGGAGTTAACCTGAAAAGCAATCTTTTTATGGTTTCCATTATTGTGTTCATCTTTCCTGATCTCAATCACTTGATTTAATTTTTCCACATCTCTTTGGAAATTTCAAGGTTGTTTCCTCCCCATCCTCTCCTCCCAAACTAAGTATCTGGACAGATGTGTGGGCACACACTGCTCAGAGAGCTGAGTGACAGAGCAGGATGGAGCATGACAAGGCTGTGAGTCTTGAAAGGAGCAGGGCTCAGAGTGTTTGCAGAGGCAAGATCACAGATGCTCAGAGGAACCTGAGTTGAACTCAGAAGAGGCCTGGGAATGGGGAGAAATAAAGCCCAAAATGCCAGTAACAGAGAAAGATGTGCCCAGTCTTACAGCTTCATATGAATGGTGACACGATTCTATGTCACAGCTGAGACAGGCACAATACACAGAGTGTCACCACACAATTTCAGAAAGCTTTAAGCACTCACCCATACAGAGCATCACCACACCACTTCAGAAGGCTGCAAGCATCTGCCCTTCTTGTTCTTTAGCCCAACCTTTTATACCCTCATGTTCATGCACTGCCCCTGTGTGCCCCCTGTTCCCTTTGGTGTTGGTCAGTGCCCCTGGGCACTCCATGGCTCATGGCTGTCAGTGCTGCTCACCTGCTGCTCACAGCTGTGCCCACTGGGGATGAGGCTGGGCAGCAGCCCCAGTCCCAATCACCACAAACTGTGTGCCTACACTTCTATGTTATTTGCAGTGAGGAATAAATTATAGGGCTTAGAACTTTTTTGGCTACTACTTGTTTCAGACATCAGAAGCCTCAAAACAGCTGCACTGTAAATCCAGATAATGCTCAAAGCTGGAGGCCTTCAAGGTCTATGCTGAACTTGCACCTGAATAACATTGAGTTTCTGTGGCTCAGGAGCCCCCAGCTTCCACCAAGAAGAAGCAAACAGAAGGTAGAACATGCAACCAATGTCTAAATGAGAAGAGCAGGAGAGCAGTGTGGATCAAGGGAAGCTGAGGAGTGATCTCTGCATTCAATAACCACAGAAGCAGCCTAAAGGGAAATATAAGCAGAATGATGGTTACTGCAGAATATATAAAGAAAAAAAAGAAACAAATGGGGACACACACAAACAAAACGAAAAAAAAAGAAGAACATGAAGTCCCCACTGAAACTGTGCCAAACAAAATTTAGCTAGATTAGCCTTCTGTCTGCAGAACTGTAAATTGAACCTCAGCATGTGTGACGCAGCAAGGTCCCAGAAACCTTAATAAAGCCAATAATCAGAAAGGAGAGCTTGGAGTAACATTCACAGTGGTAACAGTATAAAATGTACAGCCAGCACTGGTTTTGTCCAGGCCAAGAGAGATTGTAAAGGTGACAAGCTTTTATGTTCTTCCAGTTTTATGCAGGTGTGGAATAGAGAGTTTGAAAGCTGCCTCCAAGACAGAGGGCAAGGTGCAGAGAGGCAGCAACAGAACTGCTGTTGTGCATATAACAGCCAAAGCTGATGAGAAAAGTGCTGTCTTAGCATTCTGTGAATATCTCCCACAAAGTTACCAGCTCTCCCTACAGTCTGGTCTCACTTAGGAAAAGGATAAACCAGGACAAAGCCTTGAAGTTCCTTTCTCTTTTTTCTTGCCTTTGTTTCTCCCTTCCCTTTGAACAGTATCTTGAGACAAGAGGATCCTTTTGGGATGCTTAGAAAATTAAATAGGGACAAAAAGGGGGAAACACAGTGTGGCCTATCATATTCCTGGCTTAAGCAAATGAAATAGAAAGGGGGACATTAGCTTTCTGAATTGTTCTGTACCACAAATTTGTGAAACTGCATGGAAATGAAAAGATAGGTAACAAAATGAAGAATTGTCACACCTTCACTGAAGGGAGTAGCAGGAGAGAAAACCCATAAGTCCTTAATGTGTTCTTAAAAAAATTAAATGCAAGCTCCTTCATGAGAAAAGAAGGTTCCTACACATGTAGTGAAGAGCACAGAGATCAGCATGACACCAAACTGTATCAAACTATTTCTATAAGCAACCATTACATGTGATTCTTTTTTTTTTTTTTTTTGTAGCGTAACAGTAGTGGAATGAAAGTTAAAGAACATTTGGAGGAAAAATTGAGCTGTAGCTGAAGGCAAAGAGAGTGGAAAAGAATATGGAGTATTCAAATCACGGTCTTCATGTGAGAAAACATGAGAACTGGAAACATTGCAAGGGCTTATTTGAATGGACACTACCAGAGACATAACACTGAAAAAGGACTGATTAATAAGGTTCAGATTAGGCCCTGGCAAAAGGAGAGGGCAGTGGCAAGGGAAGAAAAAGGAAATTATAAAGCAAACAGAAGGAGCAGTAATGGCAGTGTTGAAGTACTAACAATTTTCCTTGAGCAATACTCAAGAGAAAAAAATTAAAATAATTAAAGTCAAATTTGAATAATATGATGACAAAGCCAATTACTAATAGAACAAAATAAGCTTATATATTTCTGTTTTTATTGTTATTTTTAATTGGGCTGACTCCTACCAAGTGTGTTTTCCTATGTGATATTGGATTTTTGCAGATTTGATCCATAATATAATTTTCAAGTCCAGATAATAGTGGCAGGGGAAAAAGAGCAGAAGGGAGATCAGATCCTGAGCATATTTCTGCTTTTCACTCTGATAAGCACTTTTTAGAATGAAACCAAGTTCTGAACAAGGGCAAGCTACTGCTGAGGAAAGAAACCTGGTGACAGGTTTCTGCAGGGCAAACACAGTCATTGGTTACTGGAGCCATATCTGTTCAAAAACCATGCAGAAATAGCCAGGATGAGAGGCGTGAGCAAGTGAGTAGAGTGTGACATAGGGGGAAAGGCCAGAAGAGGCTTCTTTTAGAGAAGTTGCACTTTAAAGAGAGAAAACGGTCCCCTCTTGTTCCTCACTGATTTCAGGATAACGGGATTTTTCATACATTCTTTGCAACCAAACCAGATTTCCATTAATAGGTACCTAACTTTCCAAAGGCAGTAACTATAGAGGTGTCTAAATACATAAGGTCTGGACCAATGTAATTTATTGGCCCAAATGCTGCATGTAATGCTGCAAAACATTGTGTAAACACATTAGGAGACCATCTAGATGTAATTTATTCTCTGCAAGGAACATCTTTCAGCTATGTGTGTTTTACAGTTTTAACAGTATCATGCCAGTTTTGAAGACTTATGCACAGTTTATAAATTCACTTGTGAGTGCTCAGCCTCTGCCCACTATAAACCATGGACCTATACCAAAATCAGGGTAATAATCTGGAGTTCCTGATTAATGGGAATCATATTTCAATATTTTTTTTTCCATTTGTGTAAGCCACTGGTACATGTGTGTGTAACTGCTCCAAAATAACAGAGGATGAGAGCCTGGAAAAATTATTAATTTACCAGTTCTTCAGTATAAGGAATAAAGATTTCTGTCTTTAGTTGAAAAAGACAAGGGCTTATTTACTGACGTTAACCAAGGTAAGATTCATCAGCCCTGTCTGAAATCTAGTGTTCTTTGCAGAGGAGAACAACAAATCACTGGAGATGGATTATAACATGAAAGCCAGAGCCTTCAACCCATTATGAAAAGTGTTCTGAGGAATGAGCCTTGTCACAAGCACTTCACAGAAATCTCACCCTGCTGAAAAATGACACTGCCAGCCTTTTGCCACTCTTTGAAGAATTTTGTTCTTTATGTGTTTTATTTCAATAACCTCTAAATGTGAATAAAGCCATAGACAGTCAGTCTGAGGCATGCATTCACCCACATATTGTGTGGAGAAGAGCAAAATTAGGTCCTGATCAAAAAAGGCAACATGGAGAGTGGAAGTAAATATTCTGCAAAGAAAGGATTGCAGTGTGGGAATCCCAGCAACAGTTTTTATTCTTTACCTTCATCTTCAAGTTATTATTTGTTTTTTATTGGAGGAAATTTTTCCCCCAGTCTCACCATGTGCTTTCTGTTCTGTTTCAGAATAGGAGAGGTTCAAAACTGGGTGAAGAACCACAAGGATAGTGCACGAGCTTAGACAACAATGAAAACTTTTATTCTAGGACAAGAAATAGAACAGGCTCAACTGCTTTGGTGTTTGTTGTAAAACTCTGGCCTAAAAGTATTTTTCCTCTTAGTCCGTGTGTCAACCTTCAGTAACAGTTCCTGCACGTTGGCTCAGCTAGCGCGGGTGAGTCAGCAACCCAGAGAGCGGGAGCGCGAGCGAGGAGCTGAGCGCGCACCAAGGGCACTCGCCGCCAGAACTGAGCTGGAACCAGCCAGAACAGAAAAGCTGTTCCCCCAACATGGTCTTCTCCTTTCAGCACATTTAAACATCCCTGTGGGAAATGCTCTACCTGTGAGTCAGCAAAATGCCTTAAGCACAGTTCACTGGAGAAGCCCTATGATGGTGGAAATTCTATGTTTAGGGACACATAGATGAGTGGAGAAGAATGGTTTTGTTCTCCTAACTGACAGGGTTATAAGCCTGCAGCCAGCAAAGCCAGCCTTGGGATCAGGGAGGGCCCAAGCTGCTGGTGGTGGGACTAAATCCTGAGCTGTCTCCTGTGGTCTCTAGCTATTGATGGGACAGTCATAAAGAAAACTTCTTTCAGCTCTATCTCAGCTGTCAGACAGAGAGCTCAGCTGGCAACCTGCATCCCCTGCACTCGTCTCTGACCATGGTTATTTGGTAAACTGTGTCTTAGTCAGACCATATCCTCCATGAGAACCAGCTGTTGCAGCTTCATTGCTGCCACTTGCTCCAGCTTGGGATAAAGCACTTATTTACAAAGTACCACTACTTTCAGAAATTTTAATAATCACCCCAGAAGGAGCTTCAATTGAAGTATAAAAATTCCATGATCTCAAGAGCCAGGTGTTGATGTATGTCTCTTATGGAGAGATGCATTGTTTCCTGCCAGGTGCCATAAAAGCAGACTGTCCTCTAGATTGCAACATATATATTCAAATGATAGTGTAATTCATGGCAGAGAAATTTAAAAAAAGGGACAAGTAGTAACAGAGACAGATGAATTAATAAAGGCCTAATTATGGGTATCAGAAAAATTTTTAACGGAAGAAACATCCTAGCAGTCCCTGAGGCCCCCTTCTTCCTCAGGATGTGGCTTTCAGGGCTGTGGCAACACCTCAGGTGCCCTTCAGCCCCTCCATTTATCATGGTCAGCACAAAGGACCTGAGCCCCTACTGACCAAGCCTTCCCTGAGCGCAGGGCAGTGCCTTCCTGGCTGGGGATTTGTGTGAGCAAAGCACTTGTACTCTACTCCCACCCAAACCCCACCTCAAGGACGCTGGGTGGAGATGGAGAGGACAAAAGAGACAGCCAGTGTGCCCCAAGAACATCTATAAATCCTGGTCACACCAGAGGAGAGAGAACATTTCTACTTTATCACCAAAGAGTCTTGGTATTTTGAGAGATAAAATTTTTTAAAGCTCTGAAAGGGCAAACCCTGCAACATTTTCATTTTCCTATTTTTCATTAAATCTCCTCCACTTTCCAATCACATTCCAAATTATCAGAAACAAGAAGGTATTAGTAAACAATATCTTTAACCAAAATGCAATTTCCTCTCATGTCAAAATGAAAGATAATCTGTGTAACTTTGGGGATTTGGAGGCCTTTCTATCAGAAAACGTCTTTTCCTCGCATTAGCTAATTCAAGAGAACCTTCTAAATAGTTCTCCAGAGACAGCAGTTCCCTTTTATTGCATTCATCTGTCTTTTATGGCTTTGCTGTCATGAAAGATTAATAGCTGCAAAGGTCAAGGGTCAGTGTGAACATTTAGTCTGACCTGCATAGCATAGGCTATCAAATTTTACCCAGTAATTCTTGCACCGAATCCCATTAATTGGAGATAAAGCACCATACATCTTTTAGTAAGAAATATTTTCTTGATTTAAAGGCTGCAAATTATGAGAAGCCTGCTCCATAAATTTGTTTCATGGTTTATTTAGCCTGACCTGAAATTTTTTTCTAGAGCTTATTAAGATTTTTTCAATGAAATATTTTACACTGGAGAAATTTGGGTACTATCAAAGGAGTGTAGTCCTTGAGCTTTATCTCACCATTTTAATTTCACAAAAGAAATAAAACAATAAACAGAATGTGTCATATTCTTCAACACTTCAGACTGTTTGTTCTGATTTGCTTTCTGGATGTTCTTTATTCCTTTATATCAGGACACCTGGGGAACCAGGCTACTCATGTTACCTGTGCAGGGCTGGGCAGTGGTAATGCTTCTTGTGATGTCTCAGCCAGACCAGATGTTCTTGGACACACTGAGCTGGAAACCCAACCCCATCCTCATCACATGCCTGTTCCCAAACACCAGCAAAACCCTACAATTTCTATCAGTCCTGTGATCCTACTTAAAAGAGCCATAAATCCCACTTGCGCCTCCTGTGGCTCTGGCCTCGGGAAACTCATCCATTGCTTTCAAATAAACCACACAAAGTCAATTAATGTGGTTACAGGCTCGCAGGGCAATCCATTCACTTTCTGGAGAAGGGTTTTGGGCTCAGCCTGTTGACAGATGGATGGCAAAGCCTGAGAGCCTCTGGTGATGCACAGCCTGAGCTACACAGATTAGTCTGACCTGCAAAACAGTGGAACACACAGACACCGAAGTGATGATAGTACTGTCACAGGTTTGGATTACTTTACATCCTTTCCCAACAGATTCCCTTTCCCATGGACTAAAATTCAGTAACAGGAATTTATAAGAGCACTCTGACATGGTTTTCTAACTAATTTGTTTCCTCTCTGTAATATAAACCATAAGCTTCTAGATATAAGAAGCTGAAAGTCTCAAAGGAAACTTTTTTCCAACAGATAATTTACATTCTATAAGCTGAAGAGTCAAATAAAAATATACATTTTGCATCAAATAATTTTCAATAAAATTAGCATAATTTCCTCTTTTAAAATAGCATAATTTGTTTATTTTTAAGATTTTTAAATTTATAAATAAATTTTTATACATAGTCAACAATACAAAATACTTTTTCAAAGAAATATACCAAGCAGCTTTGCACTAAAACATTATTTTATTGAAAATTTTAAAAAATTTCTAGTTTATGCAGCAATGTCAAAGTTCCAAATATTACAATCACAATTTCTGACCTCACTATGACTATATTTACGTATTGGCAGTAGAAATCCAGACAACATAAGTCTCACAAACTATATCACTGTGATGGAGGACAATGGAAGCCTCAAATTCTTGCTCAGAGACCTTTGGACAGACATGAGAACTCAAGCACACTCCCCACCTCCCCCCCTTGTACAAGGATCTCAGGGAAGATGTTCTCCTCATCTTGTCACCTCTGCTCACTGGCTTAGCAGAGAGAGAATGAGCCTAGGTCCAAGTGCCCATGGTAACACAGGAAGCATCAGCAGAATGAGACACAGAACCTGTGAGTTCAGGAACACAGGCACAAAATTAGAAAATCCACATTTAAAAATACCAGTTTTAAGCAATGCTTCATTTTGGCACTTTACGCAATATGTCTTTTTCTTCTTTCTCTGGTAATAAAACATGGGAAACCAAAGGTTTTGTGGAGTGCTGTGAAAACATGATAAATGAAAGTACCGTGCCAAAAGTGTTCACAGCTCAATCCCATAGAGCAAAAGCAGATTACACATGATGACCGCAAGACCACAAGAGTGAGGTCTGATGAGCCAGTAAACACATTTTGGTTATAACCACAAACACACACAACTTGTTTAGCCTTTCAGTTACATTGGCTCCTCAGATGACTTTAAATGGGAATGTTCCTTTATGCCAGAGGTGTCAATAGCAAGGAAACTATGTTCACTGTTTCTTAGATTGGAAGATAGGAGGTGATCCTTGCAGATGTCAAGCAATGGTGACCAAATGGTGAGCAAAACTGAACACTGAAATTATTTCTCTGACATGCTGAAAATTGCTAGGATAGACCTCCCATTCAGCAGCAGATTTTTTCTTTCTGTGTCTGATACTCCTCAGAGCTATTATACTGGGCACATTCTCACAGTCCATTGTTAATTTTCAATAGTAGTTACAAACACAAGCATTTTCAAGAACTTCCTGTTTTTTGGCAGTTCAATTTTTTCCTTTTGTTAATGAGTTCTGTGGTTATTTTTATGGTGCTTATTGTCTCAACATTTTAGCATCCTTTTTGAAGACCGTAAATGCTTAGACTTCATGGCCCATTCTAAAAACTTGTCATTCATGTATGTGTGCTGTGGGATCTGGAATCCATAACATTCTGTTGGAAGAGCAAATGCCTATGTAGCTGCTATCAGTTTATTGAGAAGGCAGTGTTTGGCAGAACCAGAAAAATGCTCCTTTTGATTCTCAAAGTACCAGAGGGAAGGCTGCTTCACTCCAGAAACACAACTTTGAATTACAGTGCCTTGGCACAAGTCTTGGAGGAGGTCTAATAATGGGCTTCACATGGCAATAAGATTCCAGAACCTTCTCTGAATATTTCACCTTACTGACACATGGTGTTTTGCACAAATAATGTCAGGGCAGCCCTGGCACAGGCCTGCTGGGCACAGCTGTAGGCACACAGTTTGTGGTAATTGGGAGTGGGGCTGCTGCCCAGCCTCATCCCCAGTGGGCACAGCTGTGAGCAGCAGGTGAGCAGCACTGACAGCCATGAGCCATGGAGTGCCCAGGGGCACTGACCAACCACCAAAGGGAACAGGGGGCACACAGGGCAATGCATGAACATGAGGGGTATAAAACGTTGGGCTAAAGAATAAGAAGGGCAGATGCTTGCAGCCTTCTGAAGTGGTGTGATGTTCCTCTGTATGGGCAGACATCTGAAGTCTTCTGATGTGTTTTAGTGTTACTCTGTGTGGGTGAATGCTTAAAGCTTTCTGAAATTGTGTGATGATACTCTGTGTTTTGTGCCTGTCTGGACTGCAACTTATGCTGTGACAGACAGACTAGGGATATTGCGGCAAAGTCTGCTCTCATTTATTCAGTTTGATTTTGGGAACTTTTTACATCACTTCTTACAAACCTGGCTTTCTAATGTAATTCAAGAATTTGAAGGGAGGAGGTGAGGGTGCTGTTGAAATGCATTGTCCATAGAAATTACTGCTTTGGTCACAAAGATGACAATTACAAATCAAAACTAACCATCTGACTTACATATCTTATCAGTTTATCACAATTATTTAGGAGATAACTGTTTGACATTTTTTCTCTAATATCCAAATCAGTATTACACTTGTCCTGATTTTTGTAAGTACAATAGTGACAGCCTATAATAAAAACACCATTTTCTTAGTCTTTCTTTTATGATACCTAGACTTATACCATCCTTAAGATTTTTACTTCTACTGCTGCAACTTAGAGCACTAAATAGCAGCACTGGCTCAAAGCTTGATGATGCTTCTCTATGCTGTGCCATGGACTGTTTCTATTTAAGGCTACATCACATACTCATTGCAATTTCTTGTACAAAGAAATACTATTCAAAATTGTTCCACTCTTTTCAGTTGACTTTTAATGTGTTTTTAGATCTGTAGGAGTGCTGGACACTGGGTTGTTAAACACCTACATATAAAATAATGAGGCTCCATGCAACATTTGATTTGAGAACATTGGTTGAATAGCAGAAAAAGTATAGAAAACCAGTCTACTTAAGAACAACAATTTTGTTTGTTTGTTCAGCCTCAAGAAGAGAAGGCCTCATTACTGTCTTCAGCACCTTCACAAGGTGAAGTGGAGGGGCAGGTACCAATCTCTTCACTCTCATAACCAGTGACAGGACTCAAGGAAAAGGCATGAAGCTGAGTCAGGAGAGACTTAAATTGGATATCCACAAAAGGTTTTCACACAGAAGGTGGCTGAGTGCTGGAACAGGGTCCCCAGGGAAGTGGTCACAGCCCCAGCCTGACAGAGCTCAAGAAGTATTTGGACAATGCTCTCAGACACATGGTGTGACCCTTGGGGTTGTTCTGTGCAGGGCCAGGAGTTCAACTCTGATGATTCTTGTGAGTCCACTCATCTCAGCATCTTCTGTGGTTCTATGATATCTGAAAAGCAGGCAATTTGGTCAACAGATCTCTATCTTGTAGAAGGCATTTAATCGGTTTTAAGTCCATGAAGACACAGGTTCTGAATGATACAGCCACTGAGTGGATAATAACCACACACATCTTCTGTGTTGGTTTAGGGTTTAAATTTTCTAGAGCTGAAAATGGCAGAAAGATGATTATTCATACACATGACACAGAAGGCTCCTCACAGCAGGTTAGTTCAATTCACTACAAAAATTACTTATTTTCTACTTTTTTCCCTGAGATAAAGACTAGCCTTTAAGAAACAGCATGTTTTTGCCACACATGGGCATAAACATCTTACTGAAAGACATTCCTGGTACTAAGAGGCCAAACGCAACAAAAGCCAACAGAAGAAGGTCAGACATGTCAAAAGAAAAATGTAGCTTTTGAAAAAAATAGTCTAAAACCAGGACACATAATTATTTAAAGAAGTCATCAAGTGATAAATTATCTGTCTGTTCACATCTGTAATCAAGACTGTATCCCTTTCAGTACATGCTTCAACCAAAGACAAGCTGTAGGATCAGTTGCAAAACAATGAGACAGAACACTTCAGCCTGTATTAAGGAAGACAGTTTTTCCAGGGCTTTCTTCTGTCCCTGAATACTCATTATTCCTTAAAAACCTTCTCAGTCTTTTATTTTCATATTTTCTAATTTTAAACAGAAAAGTTCTTGTTCAAAACTTTGGGTACCAGCCATCACCCATAAACAATATTGCACAATAAATAAATAAACCACCCAACTTAAATGCAACCAAGTAAAGGATGAACTGTCTCATCCTTTTTTGACTTTATGAATACAGTTGTTTATTTGCCTTGTGCTCATGTCTCTTGGGTTGGTAATACAGCACTGTTCAACACCTGGCTGGTGACATGACAGTGGGATTGAGTCCTGTTCAGTGAATTGGCTGATGACACCAAGCTGTGTGGTGTTATTGAACACGCTGGAGGGAAAGGGTGCTGTGCAGGGACACCTGGATAGGCTTCAGAGGTGCTCCCATGTGCAGACCATGAAGAACAAGGCCAAGTGTAAGGTGTTGCAGCTGGGTTGGTGCAATCC